TAATACGTGATGCACCTTAAAGATTCCAGGCTAGCGGTTGTACTGCACTGGCTAAATTTCTCATCTACAGCTGGGAGACAAGTCGCCTGTTGAGACAAACTAAATTCTAGGCTGCATAAACATACACACTCTCTAATTTTTTTTTTTATCGGTAGTATGGTTCAAGCACCTAGATAATCCATTGATTTATGGGTGTTAGGCTGTTGTAACGCTGTGAACGATGGAAGAAAGGCGGAGGACATTTTCGAGCACGTTGGATGGAAAGGGAGTGCATCATCGATCGCCACTTATGTATTGTGGAATTCCATTGCGCAACGGAATAGAGGGGATATAAAAAAATTGTGACTTCGTAAGCGGTGTTGGCGGGAACAGACACCGACTCAGCATATCGTGTTATATGGTCAATTGCGACAACTATCCACTTGTTGCAGCCAGTGGATTGTGATAATGGACCAAGGAAGTCCAATTCCGATGTGTTGAAATAGGCGATGGTGGTTGAGCAATGGGTTGTAGACAACCTGGAGGCTTTGTGGTATGAAGTTTCTCAGTCTGGCAGTGGTAACGCTCGAACGTATACTTGCTGACGCTGCGGGTCATGCCTGTCCAAGAGTAACGGCCTCGGATGCGAAAGTAAGTTTTAGAAAATCCAACGTGACCAGCTGTCGGGCCGTCATGGTTTGCTTCGATAATATCCTTCCGTAGTAGGCAGGGAATCTCTAAAATCTATGGCCTTCCTTTCTATGTATCCTTGTTTCGCTTGTAGGGCAGGTTGGTTGGTTGGTAAAAACTTTATTGAATGCCTGCAGAGCTTTCGTTGACCGGGCCTCAATAAGTCACCCGCTTGGGGGCGTTGCCGCTGGTCCTCTTCGCCCGTTGAAACAGTTGAAAAAGGCGGGCACGGTGCTGAATTTGTACAGAAGGATGCGGAAAAGCACCTTAAATGCATTAAGTAATGGGATGAGAAAAAAAGAATCGTTGCGCTTCAGTGATCTTGACGGTGTTCAGGGTAGCAGTTGTGTCTTCGTGGTCGGCGGGGTTGGAACATTGCGACCCATCAGAAAGGAAGTCATTTGGAAACTTGCCGAGACCGCGGCCGCTGGCGTTTTTACGAATCTCAGTGTCAGCACCAGGAACGCAGTGATCGACCACTGGGAAAGTCGTCAAGGCAGTTTACAAAACTTGAAGAGTAATGATTTGAGGGCGACTCCAATGGAAAGTGTTGTCACGGAGTATCATGTCGAGGAATACAGCGATCTAAGAAAATTCCGGTATACATTTTCTGAAATATATTCAAGGGCCGAGGAAAGATTTCTTTTGAATCTTGTGGTGATAGAAATTCGAAAACGGCTTGCAATTTAGATGGGTAAGGGCAAATGCCATCTGCAGTAATGATATAACCCAGGACCTTAATTTGACAAGTTCAAAAAATAAAGCATCCAAGAGAATGGGGTCGCTGCCGAGCACAACGAGCCAAAACACGTAATCGCAAGTAATAAGGTTGTGCTTCTCGAAAAAATACGCGGACAAGGAGGTATACACGACGTTTCGGGCGGACGCCCTTCTTCAAGATTGCTTGAAGAAGGGCGTCCGGCCGAAACGTCGTGTATACCTCCTTGTCCGCGTATTTTTCCGAGAGGCACAACCTTATTACTTGCGATTACGTGTCAAAAGATAAAATATTTTTTGTTTAGCTACAAGTTAGCGGTGAGAAAGGATTAGAGCACTTCTTGTAGCCGCTCAAAAAATGTTCATTGAATGAGGCAGAGAAAACAATTACATCGTCGAGGTAATAAATACAGGATTTCAATGTGAAACCCCGTAGCACAGTGTCCATCATGCGTTCAAATGCCGCAGGTGCATTGCGCATGCCAAAAGGCATTCAATTTACCTGGTGTAGTCCCGCGGGTGTAATGAAGGCAGTTTTTGGCTTGTCAACATCGGCCATGGGTATCTGCCAATAACTGCTTCTAAGGTCCATAAAAAAAATGATGATCCGTGAAAAGTGTCGAGAATATTGTCGATCCTAGGTAAGAAGTAAACGTCTTTAGTTGTGATCTTGTTAAGGTGATGGTAATCTACGCGAAATTGCCAGAATCCGTCTTTTTTCTTGGTGAAAACAACAGGAACCGACCATGGGCTGGACGAAGGCTCGACGATGTTTCTTTGCAGCATATTCCTGACGTGATGTCGGCGGCCTTTCGTTCGGTGAATGAAATTCTTTAAGGGCGGCTTTGAATGAGAGATGCTGTTCCGGTTCCTATTACGATGAGAGACCACCGATGTCTGGGCTAGAGGGCGCGGCTATTCAAATCGAATGATTTGAATAGCCGCCCTCTAGAATTGAATGTAGGGGGCGCAGACCCTTAGTCAAGCCTTTTATAGGCTTTTTGTCTGCGCCCCCAACATCTGTGCGATGTTGAATAAAGATTTGATTGATTGATTGATTGATTGAATAGTTGTTCGTACGAAAAAAAAGCCTTTCTAGAGCTTCCTTCTGGTGAGTAGGCAAGCTAGCGTCTATAATTTTAGCAACTTCGTGGCGATGTTTTGGGAAGCTAACGGCAGTTTTGTAGGTGTGAGTTCAGAGAGCGTTGCAAGCGCGGTATCAGAATGAGTCGTTAGAGTGGCCAAACTCGCATCACGGTAACAATTTACGTCTCATTGGATGTGTTGGGGACGAAAAGAGAAGTCGGTCCTTGAGTTGTTGTGCCGATGCAGCAGGGAAGGATAACAGGCTTTTTTTTGCGACAAGCTGGCGACGGGTTCAATGAGACCAGTGGTGCTTTATATATAAAATAAGATTGCTGGTTCCAAGCTGGTTAAAGCGTATGTTATACTATACTCTAGTGTGTCCGCGTCTTCATTACAGCCCACTTGTTTGGGGTTAAACAAGTAAGACTAACATAAAAAAGAGTTGTTTATTTTGAAAAAAAAACAAAAAAAAAACAGAGTTGTGCGTTTTATGGAAAACCTTTAGAACGCCGTTTTTTAAAACTCTTAACATTACGCAACTATTCAAACTGAAGCTTTCAATGTATATCTACAACGAGATAAAATGTGCCCCGTCCACATTCTTCGACCCATTCTTTGCAAGTAATACAGAAATACAATACGAACAAGCTGCGAACGTCGCCGTCGCGAACAACGCGACTGTCAGTGTTGCCAAGGGGGAAAGTAAATATCTAGCGAAAACAATCACTTATAAAGCTTTATTTAAACACGTCATATTCCTAAAAAGCACATAACAAATTCAGCGAAACGAGCAAGTAATCTATGATAATGCACATCTGAGTCTTGATAAGCCTTCAAGTGTTTGTTGGGAGATTATACCGATGAGGGCGGGGAGCATGCTTGATCTGTAACACTGCATTGGGAGCAGGCGGAAGCCAAACCGCGTACTACGTCCTGATTGGCCCGTGTCTTTAATCGCGCGTCGGCCGCTTCCGGTAGCGGCGTTCAGCTAGATATGCGGTGAACAGCTAGTTTTGTTTTGACGCCTTGGCAAGAGCGAACGCCACCGGGTGGAGTTCGTCGGTTATTCGCAGCATATTCGCTCCATGGAGTTCAGTTTTTATATACCACGTCGGTCGAGAACAAACCATTGAACAGATCAATTAGCAAACTTAATACATGATTTTCTAAACAAACATCCAGTCGTTTCATGAATATTACAGGACCGTGGTTTAAGGCAGCTTTAGAGACAACATAAAAAGGTTCTTTCTACCATGCCATATAAAATAAATATTTTAACGTGTCATTCACTTGGAGCTCTTGATTTCAAGGACGTACACCATGCTTTGTTTTAACACAATCCCGCACAATTGTTTTAAGTGTCCGTTGTACATAACATGTTGTTGCGTTTTTGTGAAGGACTGTTGAAACCTAGTTTTGCTGCTGCTGCCCGCTGGGCAGTGTAAACGGGAAAGACAACTTCGTAAGGCAGAAAAAATCTGCCTTTTACCTCGCTACCGTGAACTTAATGTATCGATAAAAAAAAAAAAAGCAACAACGTCAAACATCTTTGACAAGAATGAAGAAGCAACAACTCGATCAAAGGGCTGACTTCAGAATTGAAGCGTTTGCTAAATGGACACAAGCACAGATACGAAAAACAAAAACTAATTTACAGCCCCCCCCCCCCCTCGCGTTTCCCTCGCGAAACACGAGGACAACTTTCTTTTCATTAACCATCAATAAAATGAGAAGAAAAAATTACGTTTTTTTCCTTTTTTTTTGTGTGTAGTGTATAATAGACACGAAATGTTCATGTGCTTGTTCCTGCCCTGTTTGGCAATTACATTTTGCAGAAGCTATTTCACTTTCCTTTATTTTTTAAGGCATCTTGTACAAAGATGGAGACACGACCATTGTCGCACCACTTCACCTAAAGCCCTTCGTCCTAGTCTAAATTTTAGCGTCGTTTCTTCGTGCGAGACACGCATCAACAATGGTACAGCCTCCTCTATACCCACAAAGCCTGGCAGTTCGACAACGGAGCTTTAGAGTGCCCGGTCGCAGGTTTGGTTGGAGACGAGGGTCTGGTAGGACAGATCATCAAAGAGCCATTTTTTGGGGAACCTGGACGTCAGCGCACTGCTTTTGCAGCGGCGAGGACCCGAAACACACTTGTTCGCTCGGGAGAAGTGTGCTTTGGCGTCTCGCCGCAGCGGGGCGCCAGTAACGTGGCTCCCCTCTCATCCGTTGTCTGTCGCTCCACCTTTCCCATTTCGGCGGCCGCTTTTCATGACGATCTTTCAGGCTTTGTCAGTATATAGGAGGCTATGATTATGGTCACCGAGAGCTTCAGAAACGCGGAGCGTGGCGACACCCTTGCATCTCATTATCGCTCCTCAGCCTATCAGACTGCGGCATGGGGCGATAAGAACGCCGAAGGACCAATCACGAAGCGAGAAGTTTTAATTAACACATTAAGCCACACTTTGCGTTTCTCAATCGGTCAGTGAGTCCCAGGACAACTTGCAACATTAATAATTACTCACAAGCCAGGGAGAAGTCAATGGCCAGGCAACTAGATGAGTCATTGAAGCAGTCAGTCTGTCACTCCTGCAAGAAAGAAAAGAGAACGCAGCTCCGTCAACATACTTTCTCGATACCTATTCAGCTGTTCTAGCGAGTCGTTTTATCAGCCTATACAGCACCCCTTTAAAAGAAGTTAAAATGAAGAAGCAGTATAGACGTGTACATTCCTACTATTCGGAAAAATTTTTTTGTTAGTGTAATGATTGAAAAGCGCGTCGCAGTTTCACGAAGCGGTAAACCTTTATTAACGCTTTTGATTAAATGCCATAGCGAGCAACGGTGCTGACAAAAAAGTAACTCATCAAGCGCGTATCTATCTTGAGCACATACAGGCTTATGGCGACTCGCTAGAACGCCGCACACGTTGGGAGTTCATTCGGATTTAAATCGCTATATATATATATATATATATATATATATATATATATATATATATTTTTAGAGCGCGTCGGGTGCGAACGAGCGATAAAGGAAACACAGCAACCGTCTTTTTATACGTTCGTTTCATAAATGAATAATAAAGTAATGCGGTGGAGGTAACGGAAAGGCGATACACCAAAAGGAAAGCAGATACGTGAGGCTGCGAGGTACTGCGTGTTGGCTTTGGCATATGAAAACGTCCTTCAAGTTTAAAACACATAAAACAATAAAGTAGCGACAGAAATTACGGATTACTATTGCCTCGCCGTATTATTCTGTTTTCGAGCTTAAAACCCAGTTCCTATTCAAAAGGCTGAATAACTTATAACCTACCATGAAACTGTCCTCTGTCTGGGCGAACTGAACGAACACGCGCAGGCCACCGTGTTTTCACGCCTAATTCAAGCGCCCGCCAAGATAGAAACAATTTTCCCCCGATCATGAACATTCCACGAAAGAAAAAAACTGCCCAGGGCTGCAATGGATCGCTCAGTCTGCCAGGCACTCCACCGATCCATGAAAGAGCATTGCGATTGACGCACGTCCACTTCAAAAGCAGGTGCCGGAAACTAACACCGCTCGTCGGAGCCCTGTATACGACCAAAAGACCAGAAACAAGCGCACACGAAGGCACAAAGAAAAAAAAAAAAAACACGCAAGCTGCACCTGTCCGTCCACTAACCCCAAAGTTGGGAAGGACTAGAAAGGATCGGGTCTCTGCGCGCGACCATAGCCGAGGTAGCCTCTTCTGTATAGCTTGTTTCTGCGTCGCCTGCTGCTGCTGCTGCCGTTGCTGCTTCCATTTCAGGCTTCTCTCGGTGACACGCGTCCAGTCCAGGGATACGAGGGTAATCAATGCGGACAACCTCGGAGCCGTTCGCTCGACGCTGCTGGCCCGGTCAACATGGGCAGCGGCGGCGGTGGCGACGAGGAGCCTCGTCCCCGTTCCGCACAAAGGGAGTTACTCGATCCTATCCTGGAGAACTCGTCCTGGTCGGCCATGGCTGCCCCTTCCATTCCCTGCGAGGGCTCGATTCGTCCGATAGTCGGGGTCGTTAGCGTCGCTATTTCTCGGCGGGGAGGCTGGCTTGTTTCACTTGGCTCTTCAAACTGTCTCGAATGCTTCGGGGCCCCGAATGCCTCCTTATACCGTATAAGGCGTGCGGCGGTGAAGGTCCTTGCTGGCCGCCGCGGACTTCGTTTTCCGTCTGCAAGCCTTCGCTGCATGCGTTTCTTTCCTTTTTTTTTTCACCCAACCCTGACGCTGGCATCTTCAGTTTCTTTATGCCGTTGATTCTTGAAGAGCGTTTGCTGCGCAAACATTTGCGCACTAACGGGCAGTGGCAGGAAAGAGGGAGACGCAAACGTCTGCGACTGTTATTCTTTTCCTTTGTTCGTAATGTGTCTCGACCAGAAGGCCTTTTTTTGGTTCGCCATCGTATCGTCCACATCTTTTTTTCTTTTGCAAAAGTTGCGACACATTTTTTGGAGCATTTCGGTTAACGAGTGGAGGCTGACAAGTTGTATGTTGATTCGGAAACTTGCATACTTGTACGGTAGGGATTACAAGTATTCAAATTACTTGTACTCGATCACTTTCAGGAAGAACTTGGAATTATTTGAACATTTATTAGGAATTAATCATAAAAGAAATCTGAATACTTTTGGAAGTACTAACATTAGCTGTAATCCTTAATACTCTCCCTCCCCTTTCTATAATGGCGCCCTTTCTCTGAACAACTTTGCTACCAAGGAATCGTCGAAGCAAATCTCCGACAAGAGGAATGTTTATCCATATTAGTGCATTTCGAATTTAAGTAGTATATAACTAGGGGGATTCTAATTCATTAAAGAAGAGTACGAAATATAAATTTTCAAACCGGCAGAAATATTCGTCTTTGTGAAAATTTTAAGTCATCGAAAAAGTAACGGTTCAAGCAATGATCTATTACATTTTTTTCTATAGTAATCGAGTAATGTAATTGACTACTTCGTAACAAAGAGTAATTGTACTTGTAATCTATTACTTTTTTTCAAGTAACGAGCACAACAGCGGTAATTTGCGCAGAGATTGAAGAGCGAGGGTTTGGTGGCAGGAGGGAACGTAAACCACCGTCCAGATCTGGGGTCGAGCTTGTTTCTTAAAGACCGACGACCAGTTCGCGCTTTCCCCTTTTCCCCCGCTCCCTCCTCTCCCCCTTCTACCCTGTTTACCATTGCCTGTTTTCTCCTCTCCCACGCTGAGGAGGATCTTCTGCCTTGCAGAATCTTGAGTCTGGTCGTCGGCCTTTAAGCGCTACTTACTCTAAAAGGCCCCGAGTCGGCAGTCAGTGAGAACTGCGTCTGTGTTCTCACCTCTCCAAATAATCCTTAACGTCAGGTAATATTGCGCACACCCCAATGGCAACAGATAGTTTTGACCCCTGTTATCTACATGAAGTGCCAATATTAGTTAATTACAGTGTACTTTCATATCGATAATGAAAAGAAAATAGTTTAAATAGCGCAACGAGCGGAAGTCAATAATCGTTGCAGCGTCATTCCCGAATTTCGAGATATGAACCTCCGGAGAATTATTGTATCTTTGGAATGACGAGAATGATGATACGACGATAAAAAGATACAGTAATCCTCCTCAATGGAGCTATTGTATCGTTGGTCGCTATGCATAAACATAGGGACCAAAAAGCTCGCGAGATCGTAGAGGCCCACATAATAAAAAAGGAGGGCCCAACCTGCTTGAGTCAGGCTTCCTTGGCATTGATGGGTAGTGAGTTAGAACTTTTAGATGGGGGAAGATCGCTCATGAAATTGTATAACCGAAAACACCCAATTCTGTGAAGCGCAGGCGTGATTCCATCATGAGTAAAGAGTTGTGTGTATTTGAATGTTTTTTGTTTCGTGGTTTCTTCAGAATACACCCTCAGTTGTTGGTCACCGTTTGCATCGTCCACTTTTTTTCTCCATCCGTGTAACATTCGCGCTGTTTCAACATGAAAGAAAATAGAAATACATACGTATATTTTTTTTAAGCACGGCAGCAGAGGTCAATAATAATGGGGCCAAGATATGATGTCTTCGAATATCACATAAAAGTGATTTCTATCATTTTTCTTCTCCTCGCAGGTTCATCGCGTTATCTTTCGTTTACTTCACAATTTTTCTATACACACGTATTTTTACGCGCAGCACGCGGGGAGTGATAAAGTCACGACTATTCACGAAAGACGAAAAGGCACAGGAAACATTCAACTCCAAACAGCAGTCTTCTCACAGTCACTAGACACGGCGTTTACGTGCTCACAGTCCGAGCGCAGTTGGGGTTTTAGGTCCAGATGTTGCTCACGTGCTTCCTCTGGCCCCTTTTTGTAACTCGCCATGACCGGCTCTCTGGTTTTAGCACGGGAAAGCAAAACCGGCAGACTCTTTTCGTAAACAACGTGAGATCATTTTCAGGGAAAGACGCTATTTTCCACAGAGCTCCAAACCAAAAGGTTGATTAAACAAAACGTGACGGTCTACTATTATTCAGTCACCCGAGAGAGACGTGGCGGGTGAGTCTATGATCGATCGAGCCTTATAGACATTTCCCAAGACATGTGCCGCACCCCCACACTCTTTTTTTTTTTTTTTGCTTGACGCATTGTGACGTTCTGATGTACAACACGCAAGTCGAAAACGAAGACGAAAACCGAGAATTTCAGGAGTCGAAGACGGAGCTGACGTTGGTTGAACGTTTTGCGATTTCAAAATGCACAGAAGGCAGAAGGATAGCAGGACGAAGTATGTGATAAATTTCTTTTGTGTTTTGCCTTTTTTTGTGTGTGTTTTTGCGCTCTGAGCCGTTAATGACAAGGGAAAAAGAATCGTGCCGCTTTCGGAATACATGAAGCGTCCGTGTTGGCACGAGCCCACAGTCTCCCGCATTATAAAAGACACATTCGCTTAGAAAGGTTACGCGTCGACCCTAAGCATAGTTTGGTCAGAGGCACTTTACTTTTCAAAGAAAGAATAGTACGAAAGTTCATTTAATTTCCGCGCCCCGAGCAATGTTAGCCTGGACAATGTGAATTCACAACCGGCAAATGAAACGGGCGGCGGAGAAAAACTCACCGGAAAAAAGCTCACCAGAGAAGACCTTTACCGCAAAACCGGCAGATTCGAAAAAAAGCTCACCGTTTTTTTTTTTTAATTTCTTCTCAGCTTAGCGGATTCTGCGTCATACATGGCAATTTAACACGATTAGAATTAGTCACTCCATTAAAAATAATTGTTCTCTTTTTTGTAATATTCTTGAAGTTAATTGGGTATATTTACTTATTCCTCAAAATTAGTCATCACCCATTTTGTATAATAATGACGCCGCAAGTATAAAATCAAGACATTGGACACCCGTAAAGAAGAACAATTTATTGACAGCTTGACAGTGCGCCGTCGCTAGCTGGGTCAGATGAAGAGGTTTGTTTTTTTGCGAGATAATACGAATAACGGTGTGGTGATCCGTTTCAGCTCCGAAAATTGTGTGGTGCCTGATAGATAAGTAGGTGTTTGTTGGTGTAATCAATATCGGCTGCGCTGTTATTTTTTTGTGTTATTTGCTCTTATA